TATTATAGCTTAGTGGTTAGAGCGTCGCGGTCAATGAACAGAGACTTGGAGATGTCGGGTAGTTGGTGTCTGATACCACAAAACTCTTACCAGGGTTTTAAAAAAAAAAAGAAAAGGCACTCTTAAAGTCTGCTATGAAACTCCAAAATCATAAAAAAAATTAAACACTCACAAGGAAGGGAGTATGAGGAACTGGCATTCGTACTAATGCAGAGACACAAGCAAGAAAAAACACCCTTTTTAAACTTGTAGGGAGTAGTAATACTTATCAATTATTTAAGCTAGAATTAGGGTTGGTTAACAAAGAAAAAATATTCATTTTTATTAACATATCGAAATGGGCTTAAATTTAAGTTATTTAAACTAGTTTTGTAAACACATAATTAAAAAGAAATCTTACGTAAAAATGTAATTATTAAACAAGCGACCTAGTTTGATACTTTTAGTTTTTTTGTTTGTTTAAAAAACTAAAAAAGCTTTATTCATTTTTTAAGCTGAATAAATTATTCTAGACAAATATCGAATTTACATTTTTCCTTTAAAAAAAATATAATTACCATTTCCCGTTTTAATTTTCAAAGGAAAAACTAAAAAAATAACTTAGATTTTAAGTTATAGATATTTTTTTAAATTTTAAGAAACGAAAAAAAAATTAAAACTTTTTCTTTCTTTAAAAAAAGTACCAGAGCAAAGAAACAGTTGCTAATGTAAACTTAAGAGAAACAAGGTGGGCCTTAATACTTTTGAGCGCCATTTAAAAATAGGCTTCTTCTCCCGATAAATGTCATAACTTAAGAGAAAAGGACGGTATTTTTTTTTAAAAAAAAGAAAATTAAATGTTTTAAAAAGTTGTATAAATGCATATTTAAGTTTTTTTCTTTTCTTTTCTTTTTTTTCTGAGCGCAATTATTTTTACTCACCCGAAGCGGGAAGCCAAGCAGTGGCTGGTACAATGTCGAAGGTCTTTTTTTTTTTTCAGAATCAACACACGCTTAACGGTTTCGCCACATTGATAGTCTACACCATTGAAAAACAACACATTTGAGTGACATCACTGCACAAAAAGATGTGTTTTACGTCACAAAATGAGTGCATTTACGATAGGTCCTGGGATTTTGATGCACAAAAAAAGAAATGCACCCAAACCTTTTTAGCACTTACTTAATCTTTTGGTAGTTTAAGTTTGATAACCGAATTCATACAATATACAAGAGATGATGATAAAGAAAAATTCTATTTCCAAGCATCAACATTGTTTAAAGATGTTAAGAGAATAAAGGAACAAGTTATCTGAAAAGTTAAAAAATCTTCAAATTTTTTAGATTTAGTAAACTATAAGTTTTAGAAATTCATATATAGATAAAATAATAATTTCACAAACATGGTCCATATACTTGATGCAAAAAAAAATCCTTTCTTGGTAGCTTTATTACTCTGACTTAGAACCAGAACTCAAGAGAAATCTTTAAAAGAATGCTTCTTGGAATTTTGGAGGTAAGGAAATATGTGCTTTGCTATTCAAGGTAGCATCCTCATCTTGATTGTTATACATATGTTGAGTAACCAAGATGAGTATGAATAGCAAATCATAACTCATCAAAAAAATTATGACAAAATTATCAAATTGGTACAGACAATATGCTACACCATTACTGAAACATAAGTATAACAATTATAATGAGCATGGTAAAAGTGAGATTGGCTGTTCCCTTAAAAGGGAACATTCATCATTCATGGACTGAAACAGCATTACTGTCAGTTTTCAATTTATATCTTTCTCTCAAGTCCAGTAGCTGTTAGCACTTTTTCCAGCAATGATGGATGCTCCCTTCTTAACCTTTTGTTTAAAGTAGTGTGGAAGGTTAATATCTTGATTAGGTCATTATTTTCTCTTCATGTTATATATGCTATCCATTTTAACTGTTGCTGATATTGAAAGTCTTCAAATAATGTTGTTATTTGATAAAGTTCTTTTTCTGTAATGCCAATCCACAAGATCTGATGAAGAATGGTTCCCCCTAAAACCTAAAGGTTCATTTGCTTGAAGCCATTTTTAATTATTGATCTTAGAAAATGGTTGAAAACAGTTGAGAGTTTAGATATTTCTGACCGAGTTGGACACCATGCATGACATCCATATGAAAGTCTCAGTCTGATGTGGCTGTTTAAGAACATGATTAATTAATTCTTGGGTTAACGTCTTGGTTCTGTAGATTCTTGTGTTGAACAAGGCTACTCTTAGCACAGCCTATTCTATGTTCAATTTCCTTATACTAAATTTGTTAAAACTAATCCATATACCAAAGTATTTGAAGTATTTAATTTGATAACATGTTGATCCAAACAGCAAAATATATAAGAAATGATGGTGTTTTAAACAGGAAGAAACTGAGTAAAATGTCTTGAAAAATAGCAGATACTTGTAGGGTTTTTATGATAAATGAATTTATTATAAGAAGTGAGTTTTGTGTAGGTATTTTATTGTTCAGAAAATAGGAACCAGTTCCTATTGCACCACATATTATAACATATACTCTTTCTTTAGTTTATATACATATTTAGTAAAATTACCTATTGTCCTATAAGTTTATGAGGATTTTTCTTTGCCAGAATTGTTTATGGATTAACAGTTCCAGATGCACTGAAAAGTGATGTGCTATGTGCCATTGCAGTCATTCATTTATTCAGCACATTTTGTGCCACTTTAATACCGTCCACTGCCCAATCTCATGTTTCATAGTGACATTCAAGTTGAAATAGTGCAATGGCTTGCTGGTTCCTTTTGTACCAGGGATGTTCAGGTTACCCCATCCCTCCTCTCAGAAGATAAAGAGCCTTGACCTACAAGGCAGCTGGTGGTTTGAATACAAAGTTTTCATTCTCCTAGACTGGTGATGGTATATGGAGGTTCTGTGTTGCCCGGACTACATGACCCCCTCTCTCAAGATCCAAAGGAATACAGGGAAGGTTTGGCTGCAGGACTTGCCACAAAGTTTTCAGTGTTGACAGCCAACTGCCTTTGGGGCCCTACTTCAGATTTTCTGTCGGGATTTCTATAGCTTTTTCTATGTTTTAGATATGACTGCCATGCAGTAGAGGTTTCAATATTTTCCTTTCTCGTAATGAACTGCCTTCCTGGTGCGTTGAGCTCTATCTACCCAAAGTAGCCACCAGTTTTCTGACTTGGAGCTGGACTTAATTGTCAGAGGCTATTTGAGACACATGCCATGGAAGCATTTTATAGACAGTGGGATCTTGTCCCCACTATCACCCCTGGCTATGACAACCTTTGAAACTTAATGTACGTATATAAACATTTATGTACATTACATGTTTTAGAAGCTTCCTCACCCTCAAAGATTGATGATTTTTTTTAAATATATAAAACATTAGATAAATAAAAACACCAGAAAGCAGGACAAATTACTAAAAGTTTGTTAATTTAAAAAATAGAAACAAAAGGAAAATATATATCAGGATTTAAGCCTAAAATACTTGGAGATTATGAAGTCATTATTTAACATACAATAAAATAATTTATACTGCTTTTTTGAAAGTACAAACACCTAAACTATCAATTGATAAAAAGGAATGAGAGTAGAAAATGCAAAGTTGATAAGTATAATGTAAGCAAAAACAGAAAGTAAAAATAAGACATGATCATCAGGTTAGTTGTACAAAAAAATACTAATACAGAAAAACCGAGTAACTGTGGAAAAAGTTGAAAGAAATAAGAAACAATACATATATAACTTCCAATAAATATAATAATCATAATATATATCTATAATAAATGAAATAAAATAATAATTGCAAATTATATTGAATTATTATATTACTTTTAAAAATAAAAGCAATATTTAGATTTTTCAGTTAAATTTAATATCTGTTAATTACCATTGAAGTACATTAGTCTAAATAACTCACAGACATCCCATAGTATTAAGGAATTTTGAAGCAAAGATATCACACCAGAACATTTCTGAATTTCCAAAATGTAGATATGGTTCTCAGAGATGAAAAGAGGCAAAAAGAGTCCAGTGATGGTTGCAAATGATCAGTTATAACTTTATGCAGTATCCATGAAAATATTATCAATCATAATTTCCATTTTTTTTGTTCCCAATAAACTTTCTTATTAAATATTTCAAAACCAGTTTTAATTCCTATCTTGGTTGTAACATTAGATGACCAGAAATTACAACTAACATGTCATATGAATGCAACATATTGAAATATTATAATTTGGTAGCCACTGATTAGGGAGACATCTTACTTATTATAAAACGCAGATTGTGTGTGTGTGTGTGTGTGTGTCTGTACGTTTATATATTAGATCGGATTTCCTACATTTTTCAACCGATTTCAACAAAACTTCACAGGACTGCGTAAAATTACCTTGCGGTAGTTCTGACAGCACCAAAAATTGGAAAAACACAATTGTTTTTGCACAAAATCAATTTGAAAACATAATTCTGTCACCAGAATGAAAGGGGGACAACTCATATAGAGTTATACTTATAAAAACCCAGGTTGTTTGTGTGTGTGTGTTCATTTATATATGGGATCAGATTTCCTACATTTTTCAACCGATTTCAACAAAACTTCACTTTTTCTTTTTGGCAGGTAGTGTTTCTTATTGTCTTGCATACTTTTTTTTTTTATTTTTTACATTCAGAATGCTTTAAAAATTCCATTTACAAGATAATTGTTTATAATAAAATTCTATTCAATCGATAGACTCATAACGATTGAAAACAATGCTTTTGTTTGAGTTTGGGTTTGGGTTTGACCAATTCATAAAAAAAAAAAAAAAAAAACTAATTAAGACATGCGTGTCCATCAACCTTAAACAATAATCTTTGTCAATTTTATTTTTCAGTCTTTATGATGGTCGATACTTGATCTATCTCTTACTGTTACATCGCCGGGCTCTACTGCTACTATTTTTTAAAATGCCATTCTCCTTCAGGATGTAGATGAAAGTGTAAGTAACAGACTAGGCTAGCTGGTTCCAATATCTGCAAATCATAAAATAATGAAAATGTTTCACTTGAAAAAGTCAATGAACAACAACAGTTTTATGGCAAACATGTATACAATAAGACAGAGCATCAAAAAGACAGTTTTTCCCATAATAATACTATTTTAACTATCTTCACTCTTTGTTAAAAAGTGATCATTAGAATTGTAACCTACACATATGATGAATATGAAAAAAAATTGAAATAGTACATCAAAATGTGAATGAACTTTGTAGAATTAGATTTCTACATTTCTGTTTTAAACCTGTTAAAAGTGAATCACAGCTAAGTATTCTCAGTTTGTGCTGAACCCATTAAAATTGGCTCCAGAGTTCGGTACATGCTTTCTGATTGATCCATAAATAATAATGTCATGTTTCTGCCTATATCTTCACGGTTGACCTCGAGTTGACCTGTTCAGAGTTCAAGGCGCCAAATTGGTAAACATTCTCTCGAGCCTCCCAAGCGATCAGGAAAATCCATAAATATGAAACTTCGACACGACTTAGTGAGTCCTTAAAATAATCAACTTGTTACATGAATCCATGAAACCCAACTTCCTTGCTAAAATTTAATTTTCATTAACATCAACCCAGCTTGTGGAATTTAATTTCTTTTCAACATCAACTCATCTAGTGATGAATTCAACCATGACAAGATTCATAAACCAACTCACTCAATATCTTAACTACATAAAGAAAATTGTAACTATATCAGTCGAAGCGAGACAACTCTACAGTAAGTCAAGCAATCTATTTCATTCAATTTCACCATCAACATAAACTGTTTAATTTCTTACTAGATCTATAACATAACAACTCTTGATCACACAACCAAGAACTCTAAAATGTTTTAAACAACTTTATTATATCGTGTATTTGTTGTTATATAAAAATAATATTTGTTAAGACAAATATCTGCCTATTTGGTTATTTCTCTTGTTGTTGCATTTGATTTAGTAAAAATAGTAGAGCATCAGTTTAATTTGTATTTGTCACCAATACAGATTGGCTAACCCACTACAAACTCAGTAACAGTTTTATTATGTTATAGCTTCACTAAATGCATATCAAAGCTATAATAAGTTAAGCTTTTGGGTATTTCTAATCATCAAATACAAGGTTTGCAAAGTATTGAGTGTTTTAAAATATCTCAGGAGCCAAGGGTTCAAACTTCATGCAAATTTGCAATCAATCAGAAGAGGATTTACTGTGCATATCTGAGCAAACAATCTCCTATGGGATTATTCAGATATTATTGAGTGATCTTCCATACTTTGGAATTGTTGTAATTAACGATGTATAAACAGGGATATCAGTAAAATATCCTACAGGGTTGGGTTTTGTTAGGGGGTGGCATTATATTACCAAGGTCTGTCAGTAATTTCTGGTTATTAACATTAAAATAGGAAGATATTTCAGGCCATGAATGTTATTAAGGAGTATACAGACAATCCTAAAAGAGGATTTTGCTGAGTATTTTGATTTTAATTTGAAGAGAACAAGATAAGTATAAAATCATAAGGGTTTGAAAGGGTTTAAAATGTCATTGCCCTAGGTAGGCTACTTTTTCACTTTTTAAATGGCTGTATCATTTCCAGAGAGACCTCATATTAATTGAGAAAATGTTTTTCTCAGTTCTTTTTGCATGTTAAAGAAACCAAAGTTTTCTCATGTAGTAGGAATTTACCTGACAAAATAGGAATATACAGTCCCAGAAAAAGTAAACTCCTAAAATGATTACTATATACTTTTTCCTACTGGGAATCTGGCTGCTGCATAAAGTCACAGCATATGAAATATTCAAAGATGATTTATGGTTTGGCGCAATTAAGATATGGTTTATTGTATTATAACAGCGACCTTATCAAGAAAAAAATGGGAATTGATAAAACAATAAATGGTGATAACATTGGGGTTAAGATAAGTAAAGGAGTTTTTATTTCCCATGATTTACAAGGTACAATCGCTTGCTCATTCCAGGATATCGTATATCAGTTGTGGGAGACTGAGAGTTCATTTGGGGTATAAAACAAGGTAGTAGTCAAAATAAACTCGTGGGAGGAGAAAATCAACATGCATATGTAGCCAAGTGAAACAGACTTGTGAGAGAAAAATTCTATTAATTATATTATAATAGATGAGAGTTAATCTCTGCTGCTGGTCTTGTTGCTGGTCTAAGGTATTGTTGTTGATAGAAGCACCTTGGTGTCACTGCTGATGGCCTGGGCAATCATTTAGTCTCTCACATCGTGCAGTCCATTACTAATGCTTGTAAAGAAAAGGAAAAAAAAAACTTATTGTAGCAATAAATGCTTCCGGTTTCTTGTCCACAACACTGAGCTAAATCACAGTTCAAACGATAATCTGTCATACCAATCCAACAGGCAATGTAGAAACGACAAAATAGGGTCACAAATCCAACCTTCACTTCTCACCAGTAAAAACACGTTTGTCCACGTCATTCAGGGGAGGAAAGAACATTAGCATAGATTCTGATACTTAAAGTAGCAAATTTTTGCTAACTACTTTCTGTCATTTTTTTCTTTGGCAGATTACACACAAAGCACAAACACTTTTTCAAGGTAGGTGATTATCTTTTTTACTACAGCCAGGTTGGATCTGCCTTTACGGGTGGAAATGACATTGGCTTTATAATTAGTCAGTCTGACTCAGAACTGTGTGAACCTTTTTCTGATTGGTCACAAAAGATTTTTTATGACTGGAATTTCTGCACAGAATTCTGGAAGAGCCAGATGAAATTCTGGAAGTGGGTGCACAGAGCCAGATGAAATTAAGGTCTGTTTTTTTTATACAAATTGTGGATGTCAAAGTGGGCTATTTGAGTTAAGGCATTAGAGTTTCTAGTAGGGTACAACAGTATCATTTGATGTTCTACTGTTGCACACCACTTTTCAGATAATCCCTTCATCGTAAACTTTACAATGTCACTTTTAAAAACTCACTGTCCTTAAAGCAATCATAACTTCTCTTTTTGTTCAAGTTTAAATTGAGACAAGTGTAGATGAAACCTCAAAAAATAAGAACCATACAATTCAGAATAAAAACATGAGAAGACTAAATTGTGGAGAGTCATGTTGACCTTGAAGGGACACAGGCCATAAATGAAGAAGAAACAGTAGAACATCAAATGATACTGTTGTATCCTACTAGCCAATTTTTGAGTAGCAAAAGTTGTACCTGAAGGTATATAGTTGTGTGTTCATTGCTACCACTTTTCTTCTGTCTGACCACAGTTTCTACAGTTGTCATGTCTGCACATACGACCTTCCACCAGATGCAGTGAGCTTGTTGGTTCCAATAGGAAATAACTGCAAAAACATCCTCTTCCCCCAAATTTATAGACAAATCTTTCAAATATATATTGGTATTTTCTCCTAATAAAAGTCTAATAAATTAGACCACTTTTCAATCTCTTCCACAATATTTTTGTCTTGAAGTCAGAACACTACAATCACTTGACTGTATCCATTTTGTGTGTGAACACTATTTTTACTTTGTGAACTTTTTTGCGTTATTAGTTACTTTATTTAGTTTGGTCTTGCATATATATTGTTTGCTTAGTATTATTTTGCCATGTTCTTTCTTTTACTGTTTATCAAGAACCTTGTCAATTCCATTTGTTGAGCATTTTTTGGATTACACTTAACCATGAACAATTACTTTATTGACCTGCTTGACCTATCTCTTCCCATGTGTCCACACTGATATCAGTGAACTTCTGGTTACATTCACAGGTATCATATCAAAGCAGTGGGCAATCCCTGTAAACTATTTTTTGGGATGGTTGTCCTATATATATAGTAGACATTGCCAAGCTAGCACAGTCATCCTGTGGAAAAAGGCTAGATGTGTTAGCCCACTCTAGGACATTACCCCAGAAAATGACTATGATCCAGTAAAATTACTACAAGTGGAGGCTGTTAAGGCATGGAGGTTATCTACTCAACGGAACACTGTTTTTAAACAATGCACTTATAAAAATGTCCAAATAAAAACTTGAACCAACTATAATTAATACTGTTTCCTGTTAGAGCTTTGTGGAGAAAAGTGTGAAATTTAATAAAATGAAGTGAGCTTAAATAAACTCTAGAGATGAGGGGAGGTAAATTTCCTAAAAAAAAAAAAAAAAAATAATAGAGAATAATTTCACTCCCCTTCTATTAGACACTTATGAGTAATCACTAATTCTATATGAAGGTTAATTTTTAATTTTTTGTGTGTGATTATAGGTGCATGATCAGCATATTAGCATCATAAAATTGTTACTGAAAAGAAAAATGTTATTTTATCAAACAAACACAGTCAGCCCTCTACATTTGGGGGTGTTAAGGTTGAAGACCCACTCACGAAAATGGAAAAAACTATAAATATCTAGTGCCCAATACATGAAATAAAGTTTTAACTCATAGTGTTATTGATCAAATTTAACATATCATTAAAATGAAGAGATTGAGAAAATTCTTTTTAGTTTCATATATTCTGTGCCATTTCTAGATGTTATTTGCTATCTCTCTTTCATTAAGTCAAAAACTTCACTTTTTTTTTCTTTGAGATTATATATGTATTTTTACATATAATTGTTTACGTTTAAATTTTTTAAAATGACACCATAATAGAGGCATCAAGAGTTAAATTTAACTCTGCAATTAAAAAAAAAACTTTAAAATAAATTAAAATCAAATAGTCACTTTAAGAAATAAGCAAGAATGAATATAGCTAACTTAAACAATTTACTGAATTTTGAAAAAAAAATATTATTTGCCCTTTACACTTGTAATTGAAAAATAATTTATGGTGGATTTCTCTATCAGTACAGTCTAAAAAAAAACAAACTCCTTTAATATAATTGCTCAAGTATTTAATGTATTTATGATTTAAATGTCTTTTTTAGTTTTCTACTTTATTCATTGTCTGCAATTTTCTACAGTAGGCTACAAAACTTAAAAATAACAAAACTTCCATTGCAAACAACAA